CCCTAAGAGGCCATAACAATACCCCCCGAGCCTCAGATGAGGCCCCAGTTCACAGTGTTGCTTCCACGTGTGCATACTGCTCTTGTGCTCTTGAGAGGCAAAAGACCGTCAGAACTCTCCCAGGCCAGGGAGGGACTTGGCTTCCTCTGGGAATGTGTGCAGGGGAAAGGGGAGCTGGGAGGCGGGCCTGGGAGCCCGACAGAAAGGGGCCACTGGGCCGGTGGGCGGTGAGGCGGTCCATTCAAGAAGTCCTGTGAAGGCTAGGTGCTCTAAAATGAAGAGAGCCAGGTGGGCTTGCTGTGGACAGGCAGAAGCGGGAGTGGGACAGTACCTGAGGGCAGGGAAGAGGGACAGGTGCTGAGGTTTGCATGATAGTGACCCTTCCCCAAGTGGTTAGAACTCCACCGGCTCTTGTGGGTGCACAGCCTGGGAGACTGGCCTTTCCAGGATGGTGGAACAAAAAGCAAAGGGTTCTTGCTGCCAGTGCACAGGAGGAGTTGCAAAGGCTAGGAGAGTGAGGATGAGCTTCAGTGCCAGGCAACTGTGGTCACAATAACATGTGACAACTCCAGATGCAATAACGCCTGCCTGCCAGCTCCTGGAGCAGAGGGATGTCTGTCTCGTGTCGGCCCTTGGACCTTCCCCAACATACCCCTGGGTCTCATCTGGGGGCCAAGGACATTTCTTGGACCTTCCATCTCTGAAGGGCACAGCCACAGACTGCAAGGGTGATGACTGACTCAGCTCACTTCCTGTGGAGCAGTCGCGCTTCTCTGGGTCGAGGACGAGACCCCTTCGCCTGCTGTCACCGATTCCAGGCTCACATCATAAGCCTGCTCAGATTGTTTAGAGTGTTCTATATGTGGTATCCTCCATGAACACTGGATGGAGCTCCTCAAGGGCAGTGACCCTGCTGAATTTGTCTTGGAAACTTTAGCATCTGCTGCTCAGATGTGGTGTTGTGCAAGCAGGGCTTGTTGGGTAATGAAATGATGTTTATGAAATTTAGTGAGCATTTAAAAATTCCCCAACTTGTACCATTTATTCCCTGCTTGTGCTGTGCCCAGGTGCCAATTCCATGCCAGCCAAACAAACCAAAATGAGAGCAGCCCAATACTGCTCCCTGCTGGGGGTCGTGTGCTGGAGGGGACAAATCAAGAGGAGGGCAGTTTCCAAACCGGGCGACACTCATACAGCCAAAAGACACAGGGCAACCCTTACATAAAGCAGGAGCAAAGCCTTTTCATGGAGAAGCCTTTCTTGACCCCAGTAAGTGCCACTATGTCTGTCTTCTTAAATTGTTTCCATTTCTACCCTGACCTCCTAAATGAGGTGGTCAAACTGAGCTCCTCTGGGGCCAGGCGGTGCTCACTGTCCCTCGTCTCTCTGCATGACCCCTGACTCTCCTCCTCAGCGAGCCTCTGCACCCCGTGCCCTGTGTGGGCCGCGCGATGCACTGCACAGCCTTCTTCATTAAACTGTCCATGGTGATTCATAGATGGCTTCCCCAGAGGTTACCATCAGCACGCTGGGGACAGGCTGCATAGATTGCTCCTTCTGGGTGTTACCTTATGTTTGCCCACATTGAAATTCACTGCCCACACTGGAGTCCAAGTGCCCCACCTAGCTGTGCCCCCCAAAATCCCTGGCCCCAGCCTGCTGCTAAACAGCCTACCCAACCGTGGTCCTCACAAGTGCTCATGCTGTATGCGCTGCTGCAGAACTGCAAGCCCCATGAGATGAGTCGATTTCAGGGAGCAGAAACTGAAGGTGGCAAGCCAGGAGGCAGGACTGTGGGCTGTCTGTCCTCTAGTCTGTGATCATAGGAGACAGAAGCCCCAACTCTGTCAGTTAGTCCTGGAGTGTCCAGAGCCTGACGCAAGCTCTGCTCTCTTACACTCCTGAGCTCTCTCTCCAAAGTGTCCCGCTGGCTTGCTCTGTTTTGGGCACAGTGGAACCTGGCTGAGTCCTACAGCAGAAAATGCCCTGGGTCACTGAGACTGGACAAATTTGCGTGTCACAAAGAGCCATGGGGACCTACGCACTGAAGAGATGGCAGAGCATGAGACAGAGGCGCAGAGGGAGGTCACCCTCTTGTGGTGTCCTTAACATTCTCTCCTGAGGGCTAGGAGGGCAGAGCACAGGAGCACCTCATGGGAGACGTTAGATCTGGACGTAGTGTGGGGCCACCAGAGCCTGCGAGTCCTGCTAGGAAACTGTCAGGCTGTGCTGGCACTTCACACCACATATATCTCAACATGGCCAGCCAATGTCCACGACGTTCCCGCCCAGCCCTAGCCTCAGTTTCGCTTCTGTGCCATCTGTCTCTCTCACTGGCTGGCCCTACCACTCTGACAGCCCTGGCTGTCACCCAGGTCCACACTAACCTGAGGGGCATGGGCCCGCCTGAGGTAGGTGCAAGTCGGTGTGTGCTCTCCAGGGCGCTAGACACCAGAGTGTTGGGGACAGACTACATTATAGTGCTCCTGTTTTGACCCGTGAGGTTCGTTGTGAGTTTTCCACTTACAGTGCATGCTGTGCTCACCAAGCCTTGGATTTTGGATCTTAGAGTTTTGGGCTTGGGTTTCTGATCACATCAGCTATATTTTACCTCAATAACTTCTTTGTGTCTCCCTGTCAGGAAATAATATTTGCTGAGATTTCTCTCGTTTTACTTATGAGGACACCGAAGCCCAGAGAGGTGAAGTCTTTTTCCCAAAGCTACACGCCAACCGTAGCTTGGCTTGGGCACAGGTTGCAACACCATGTAGAGGCAGGTGTGCTCCGGGAGCGCCCCCGCCAGCCCCCTGAGCAGAGGAGTCCTCGGCAGACCCTGGGCTTCCTGCAATAGTTCGGCTTTGAAGTGCTCTGGAGTTTGCACTGGGGAGGTGCAAGCTTCTTGTTTTTCTCTAAAAATATCCCCAAATGACAGACATAGCAGTCATCTTAGGACACCGGCCACCTCTCTTTTGACTGCTTCAAGGTACTTAGGTTAGCAGCAACATATTGCCTCCAAGAAATTCCAGCTGTGGGACCAATAACAAAGGCAATCACAGCTGCTGACATTCATTAGACACCTGTTAGACTCAGATGTGTTGAGCGAGGTAGAGGATTTTGTCATCTCTGCTTTAGAGGAGGACAAAGACACAGAAAGGTTGTGTTTTTGCCCAAGATCACATGGCTGGCCAGTGGTAGAGCCAAGTCACTGACAGAACCCTTTAATTCCTGCTCCCTATAATCCCTTTAATCAGTGAGTGTGTCCTGTGTTGGGTCAGCCTATGCCACTGAGAATGGTCAATCCTGAGATACTGGAAACCTACCAGGAGCCATGCAAGGGTGGGAGCAGGGGTTCAGGGCAGTGGAGAGTGGGGGAGGGGCACAGCCCCACGGCCCTGGATATTGGAGGAAGGCATTGCAGAGAACAGAATTTTGAGCAGGGAATGGAGAGAGGAAAGGGTTACCAAGAGCAAGATCTTTTAGTCTCATAATTTTGAATCAATTCTGTGTAGAGACAAGTTTGGTCATTTCATGGTGTGTCCTACTGGGACTTTGGGAAGTGTTTCTTTCAATCAGGGCAGAGAGAAAATAACGCAAGTGTGGCTGCTTACAAAGTTGTGTGTGTGTGAGAAAAGGCACTGTGTGAAAAATGCCTAATAACTCTTATTTTTCTAGGTTTGCCTGCCACTGTAGGCTTTGGGGATGCCTGCTTTGGTAGGTTGTCATCACTGCATGGACTCTCGGGCCTGTCCTACTGTGATTCTGTTAGCTCAAGTTGCTGCTCAGTTCGTGGAGGGGAGCGTTCACCTTGCCCACGTCCCCCAGCTTCCTGAGCCCAGTGCCTTCCCTCCAAATGAACTGCACTAGTTTTTATACATAGTGCTGCGTGGCTACTGCCTCCGAGAGTCCCTTATTTCCACAGTCTCAGATAAGTGTTCCAGGGCCTGGTAGGCCACCGTAGCTCCTGAATCCGCGTTCCATTCTTGTACTGTGCTCAGGGACTTTGGGCTTCCTACATCCCATTTAGATGCTTTTACACCTGGCAGTGTTGTAGGGTTATTACTTTTAAAGCACAACCCTAGGAGGCCCATTTTCTAGCTTAGAAATTCCTCCCAGCTCAGTGGCTGGTGACAGCTGGAGTTGCCTCTCAATGCCCTCCCATACAGACCTTCCCAAATATCCTTTTCACTTGGATGCAGGATTTCACCCCTCTTTTCAGTGTACTTATTTGGTCTGGGGGATCACAAGGAAGAACAAGATCTCTTTGAGATTTTAGTCTCTGTGTGGGATAATCAGGTTGTGACATCGCTGTTCAGGCCATGAAAGAAGTGTATCGTTGGTGTTTGAACCAATTTCAGCTGTACTCCTATTTCTACACTTAAGGTGAGGAAATAGTCAACAGGAAGTTTTATAATCAACAAGCTGCCCTCTATTGCAGAGGTAAGAATGGGTTGGAGTTCAGAATCCAAAACAATTTGAGCTTATTCCCAGCTTACTGGATGTATAACCAGGGTGGGCCTCAGTTTCCTCATCTGTAAATGAGAATATTATTAACACTGTTCTAATAAAGCTGGTAAAAGAATTAGATAAGACCACACAGGGAGAGAGACTGGCACACGGCAGGTGCTCAGTAAATGTTAGCTATGTGACCTAGACATTAGAGAATACTCAGCTCCAACCTCCCCATCATCAACCACGATACTAACACACAAAGGTAGAGATGAATCAGTACAGGCACGTGGAGTGGCTAAAACCATGCCCTTTTTGATAGTCGCTGTCAAGTGGATGATCGATTTTTATTACTAGGAACCCACACTGCCTGTTCAATAACATTGCTAATTCATTAGCTAAGAAAATCTTTGACAATCAGACATTTCTGCCTATGGTATTGAGTGGCCCTTAAAATAGAAGAGAGAGAAACATCAGACAGAACCTGTCTTGTGTTAAGCGGGTGTTCTCCCTCTAATTTGATACTGGCCAGAGTCCTTGTAAATCACACTCACCACACTGAGTCCTTGGTGAGCTTGGAACTCACGTTCCCGTCTTCCTCCAAGAAGATGTCCATTTGCAAATTGGCGTCATTGTCATGAGCTGAGAAGTAATTGGTCACGACTCTTGCTGGAATTCCAAGGCATCGCAGAACTGCAGGAAAGAGCTGCAACTAGTCATATCGTCGCAATTTAAGAGTGTGCAGGGAACAGTGCCTGCCTGTATGAGACTTCCTTCTTTTCCAACATACAAAGCCCTGTGGACATGTCCTCAAATGTCCCAGACAGAAGAAGGGTGACTTGTTCAACCCTGAGAGCCCGAGAGTGCGACACTGCAGAACTTTAGTTGGTGCCACCTAAAGACTGCTAGAATCAAATGCAAGCTAACAAGGTTCTAATGCTTTAGTTTCTAAACATAGGACCATCAAAGTAGTAGTATTTTAGTCCACTTAATGAGACTATGTTCCTGAAAATAAATTCCAAAAAAGAACTATCTAGCAGGAAGTTAGGAATTTGCAGAGCAGACTCTCAGTGGGGTTCGCTCTTCCTGGCTGGAATTTACTCTTGTGACATGCAGTGCAGGGTGACACTACAGATTCATTTTAATTGTTAGATAATAAATTACCTGGATGCATCTCTTGCCATATGTACCTATTGATTAAACTTAATCCAAATGCCCTGCCTGGCTCCCGGGACGCCAGACATCAGGATTCATTGAAAATAATTCACCTGACAATTTTAAGATTAATGACTTGGCTTGCTATTTTTTTTCTCCTCCCTCAGAATAGTTTAGCATTTTTTAAACAAAGACTCTCCACCCCCTTCAGTAGAACAACCTTGGAAGTTCAAACTTGAGTCTCGCAGAGGCTCAAGGGATTTCTTCCTTCAATGCCTTGATCTCGGCACCCCACAGTCATTGGGGGCAGCCACGGCTGGCTTTCCATGCCCGTGTTCCCATTGCTCTGCTCTTTCTGTTCACCCACAGTCTCACCCAGAAGAGGGCTGGCACTCTTCCTCTATTCCCGGTGAATTGCAGTGTTTGTGTGCATGCTTAGGATTGAACCCAAGACCTGAACAAGTGTTCTTCCACCCGGCCTTGCCTCCAACCCTCTAGTGTGAATTTCTGAACTCTGATTCACTCGATCACACAGTCAAATTTGATCTAGAGTTCGCTTTACTTATAATTTTGAGGGGGTGAGGCTGGCCTTTGGGGCGTTGCTCCTGCTGCTCTCCAATTTCCCCCATTCCCCCTCGGGTTTATTTTCACTGCGAGTCCCCACAATGTGTTCCTGCCTTTTCTTTTCATCTGGTTTCTTTTCATTTTGTGGCCAGCTCAGCCAGCCCCGGGGGTGGAGCTGGCTTGCCATGTGGTGCTGGGGATCAAACTGCAGTCCCTGCACTTGCCTAAACTTGCCTAAGCTAACCTAAGCAGGCACTTTAGACCTCTGAGCTACCTCGCCAACTCCCCTGCCTTTTCTTAATACACCATCAAAGCCCATTTGCTGGCACAGACTTGACAGCCCTTTTATACGTAAGGGGCACAAATGTATGTAAGGTGCTGCCCGCCTTATCTGGTTTCTACTCCTAAAGGACTTGAGCTAGGATAGTGCAGGTCTCGGCGCAGGGAGGATGTGAGTCTTCTCTCTTCCTGGACTCATTTCGCAAGAGTGGCTGCCTCTGCCAGGAGGCCTCTCATCATCCTGGCTTGAGGGAGGGGGTCCCGTCAATGCTTAGCCCATCACAAGGCCCAGCCTTCTAGGGCTGTGCGACCAGCCCTTCTAGGAGACTGATACTTTTGACCTTTACAGCTTCCAGGAAGAACGGATTCCTTTAGCTCTTGGATAAATTGAAAACGCTTAAAAAAAAAAAAATTCAGAGGATGCCGGGGAAATGAAACAAACAAAACAAAATTTAGTTTCTTTCTACTTGGATCACTGACTAAGTCCTGGACTCTGACGACTTGGAGCAAGTCTGGTAGGTTTCATCAACATTTTTCAAAATGGCCCTGCTGCAGTCTTTATTTTTTATTTAAAAAATGCTAACTAGGTAAAGCATTCTTTATTAATGAGCAGGCAGGAAGGACATTCTGGCTTGAGCTTAATGTTTTTCCAAGGCTGTAGAAGAGGGGTCTGAATAAAAATCATTACCAGTGTGTAGTTTAACAAATGTATTTTTAAAAATATTCGTTGAATTAATACTGTAACTTTATCTGGGTCTAGAGAGGCCAATGCCATTTTGAAAAATGGTGCACAGAGCTCAAGAGAATAATTCTGCTTGTGTCTGTTGCATTCTGCAGATTGGATGCTGGGGAGATCAAACGTCAGAGGGGCAACGGGAAGGGAAGATTGCTCATAGCATTCTGATACCTAATTGCTCAGGGGCATTGTGACTCAGGTGTGGAAATGGGGATGAGGCTACCTGCTAAATCCCCTTCATCACTGGGATAAAAATTATGTGGATATAGTTGTAAAACTTTCCAATAATGAATAAGCACATTTATATAATGTCTCAATAATCAGTAAGCAGTATATCTTTCCTTATTCTTTTATTTTTAGTTATAACTTTTTTAATATTTAAGAAATTGAGCTTATGGAGAATAAATGGTTCATTTTTTCCCCCGGCATCCTTACTTGGCCCTGTGACCTCCACTGCTCTGGATGTTAAATGATAAATTAAGAAGGAAACAGTACATCATTCTTTTCATAAAGATTCTGCAGTCACAGAGACCATGAGCATATTTGACCCAGTGCAATTTAATTATGCATTGACTACATCCCAGAATACTCACCCATAAATCCTATAGAGCCAACAGGGACTGCTGAGTCTCTGTGCCAGGTTCCAGATAAAATGTCTTGAAGTGAAATTTCTTTGTGTTAAAAAAATATTACTCAGTTGGCTACTTACATGTATTAAAGACACCAGCAAATACCCAGCACTGGCCATACCGGACCGGATTATCAGAGCTTTTGTATTCCAACAGGATGTCAACACTTCCAGTCCAGGCCGAAGGGGGAACACCATAGGCATAAACATTGTCCCAGGATCCCACTATGACGCCCTGGTCGTCTTTGGCGTTAATCTAAAGGGGGCCACATGAGGTGAGAAGGAAGAAAGGTCATTCAGAGGAGTCCCCTCCAGACTGCAACACTGAGCACAGTAAGGCTTCCCGGCCTCCCCTGTCCTGCAGGTAAAGACAGTCCCACTCTGTTCCAATCACAGTTGTGTTGGCAGGAGAAATGCTGTAAAGACTAAGTGTGCAAAAAGGAGACCAAATACCCAAGGCTGCCTGTGTAACTGCGGTTGATTGCACTCAAGTGAGCCCCACAGCAGGTAGGGACATCTCTTCCACACAAGGCACCTGGATAGGGCCACAATGGTGCTAGGGTGTGGAGTAAGGATGAGGGGGTGGAGCACTGCAAGGGGACCTGAGGAGCAACAAGATCAACAGGCCTTGTATTGGCAGGAGGAGGACACACAGCTGACACATGAGGGAGAGAAGGGTCGAGTAGAGTTGCACTTCTATGAGTGATGGACATAACGAATTGAAAAGTTAGCATGTTGTCACAGGCACCATTATGGGTAAATAAGAAAATGGCTTTATATATGTGATCAACAGAATTTATTCCTTGAAATGTTGTTAAAGGAATAGTACCTTTGTAATTGTTTAAAATGATTAAAGTTTTACAGCTTTGTTGAAAGGAATTTCTATCTCCATAAGGGGCCTGTTTCAATATGGAGAGATTTAAATAGAAAAAATGGCTACCTTGAACCTTTGGGAAACGCTTGCTACCCACTGAAACTGTAATGATCACAGACCGAAAGTCAGGTACACTGTCAAATGAAACCCTGAGAAGTAACAGCTATGGGGCAGCCCGCCAGTTTTTTCTGTACACTGTGGAGTCTACCTTTTCCAATGCGAACCTCATCACACTGAATTACAGTCAGAGGGACTATCAGTGGGGACCAGTGGGTGTTTTTTTTAAAAAAAAATTAATGTAAGCACTTCAACAATTCTGGTAGTTATGATCGCTGTTTGGAGCCTCATGACACAAGCATGGTCAGCCATTTTGACATTGCTGAGGGGCTTATGGGAAATGCAGGCAACTCCTCCACCAGACCATGGAGTAAGTCTGCACTATAACAAGGCCCACAGGAGGTCTGGGTATAAATCAGTGTGAGAAGCAAAAAAAATGGATTATTTTTTCAGTGTACTGAAAAGATATTGTGAAGCGCATTAAATCATGATTTCAGATACAATTTAAGATATGTACATTTGACGTATGAAAAATATAGGAGACCTTTTGAAATACAGTGAACTTGCTGCCTCACTAACCAATAACACTGCCTCAGCACCCACCCAGAGATCTCATTTTGGTTGTTGCACTTAGCTTTAGAGAAGCCCATCTTCTTCATTAGTTTAACAATTCAAGGAGAACAGAGATAAAAGTCCTAAATTCCAGTAAGTATGAGCAAAGAATTGCTGCTTCCTAGTTGTTCAATAACCACTGGTATATTCCTTAGACATATGGGCTTTGTACTCTGAGAAAGACCTTGTCTCTGGGAAGAGATGAGGAAGAAGCTTGTGAAGTGGAAGTAAAGATTACTAACATTAAGACTGAAAGGACAACAGCCAGAGTTGCAGCCCAAAGGAGAAAAGAAAATCAGTTGGGTAGGATGGTGGTGGTGATGGCATTGGGGGCTTTGTGCAGCACATGGTACACAGCTGGCCAAAGAGTCCATCCACGGAGTGGGTCAGTTTCAATTGATGGCTCATGAAGCAAAATGGCAGGTGCAGAAACCTCTGCACAGGGTTCATATACACAGGTAATATTAGATGAAACTGAAAATGCCAACAGAAGACACTTAAAATGGCTAATGTCTTCTACTGTGAGAGACAAACCTTCAACAGAAATGTGAGATTCACCCTACCTCTGAGTGACTCCAAAGAGAAAGTCACAGAAGATGCTGTCTAGCCAAAGACTCTTCCATTTCATTTTTCTATTTTTCCTACTCTGTGTGTAGTTAGGCTAGTTGAAAGTTTCAGTAACTTCCAAGTTAGGGTGTTTGATGTAGAAAAAGAGTAAATCTTTGGAGGATTCTGAATGATCAGCTAGTTGCAAATTTATGTCTCTGATTTGAACTTGGACTTTAGTCCAGAGATTATGAAATTGTGAGGTTTCAGTAGGGTTTAGCCAACCATCTGACTCAACTTATGATCAAGACTTCCTGTTATTTATTTGATTATTTGAAAATCTGTCTCTGTTGTGAAGCTAGAAAAGTACCTTTGTACACTGCAGTGTGGATGGTGTCTGTGTGTAGACTCGACTTTTCACTCACATTACCATTCCTTTATCACAGAGTAGTAGAACAGGACCCATGAATCCCACAGGTAAAAGTTCCGAAACTGCACTCTGATGACTGATTCTCAGATAACTAGCCATTCATTAAAAGAGCTATTTTTAGCATAAGGTTGAACCCAAGAAACTCAAGGAAAGAGTAAGAGGTGGGGAAACTCTCTTCTTTATAGACCTTTTCATTTTTAATGCTGAGCTGTTCCCCTGTTGCTAGATAAATCACAACTCCCATTCATTTGCATTTGACCAGATTAGCTACTGTTTTCTAATCAGAACACTGATTTCTATGGGCCTGAGACACTAAGGGGTAATGTCTTTAGTGACAGGTATAAAGAGTCAAAGTATTATCTCCCTAAACAAGGTATCTTGGGGGGAGGGGTGCACTTCAAGGACACACTGGTCCTTTTGTTTGCTAGTTGGTTTTCATGAAGTTATGATTTAACCAGTGCCAACCTAATCTGTCTTGGTCTTGGGTTACTACAGATCAAGCAGAAACTAAGAAGTCAGGACTAAGGGCAGGTAGTGCTATATAATTTCAATATGGCTGCAATGAAATATTTTCCCCAAATGCCTACAGGACTGAAAAGATGAAGGAGAAAAACAACCTCCTCATGGTACTCCCAGCAGTCCCAGTGGTGCAGTGATGCAATGAACCACAAGACATAGTGACAGAGAAGATGAGGGCGCTGGGGTGAAGCAAGCAGCCATCAAGTGCAGACCCTGACTGGAACCACCTGTTCTTCAGGTGTCTTATTGTTGGATTAACACAATCCTGAATTTTTAAAATTTATCTTTGCAAATGGAACTAGAATGTGAATTTTTCTTTTGTGCTGGCCAAAATCATGAAAGCAACTTTTGTGGAGAAGGAAGTGAGAATGTGGCTGCACATCAAGAAAAGTAGACACTCTGAGACTAAGATAGGGAAAAGAGACAAAGTCCTGGAGTGCCAGCCATGAAAGCATGATGTATTTCCACTAGGGAAGTGGAAATAGGAACTTCTCCAGGAAGGAGAAATTCAGCTCACTCTTACAAGGAAAAGTAGAGTCCAGATATTCTACCAAAGATCGAGTCTATACAATGAGAGAGCAATCTGTACTCCATGCTGATGCAGATTTTTAGTCAGTTTGAACTTTAGGAATGAAATGAAATTGATCATCTAGACAAAAATGCAAATTAGCAACAAGTGAGGAGATCTGCTGCATTTCAGATTCTTCGTGGTACCATTCAGGAAATCCCTGGTGATATCAACAGAGCCGGTAGAGAAAGATCGACCCAAGAGCATTATACCCAGCCAAGATAGCACACAAGTGTGAAGATAGCCAGCACACACACTCAGCATGGAGGTGCTAGGCATTTGACGGCTATTATAAACTCCTAGAAAAGTAGAACCAAGATAATTAAGGTCTGACTCATAGGGCCCAGAAACAGAGACTCTGCTGTGAAAGACTCAGTGGTGAGAAAAATCCATGTAAGTTAAGTGTTTTGGGGAATTATAAGATGAATTTGAAAACTTAATATTATAAAAACAATAATCACTGTAGGAAAAATTAGATGTGAAGGAGGGAGAATATGAAAATGTTAATGAGTTTGTCTCTCATAGTTAATTAATGGCATCTAAATTAAAATGTGATTTTAAAGTACATAATTACTTTATTCTTTTAATGGTTTTCATAATTTTTCAATAACTTTAGAGGGATCTGTTAAGAATTCATGTTCTTATTGGGGAAGAAACATTTATTTTAAGTTGAAAATTTTATCTTGTGGTTACTCAGTTTTATCTTTTATTGAAGTACAAATTAATAAAACAAAGATTTGCAGATCATATATTTAGTAAAGGGATAATACCCAAAATATATAAGGAACTCACATACAGAAAACAGCCTTTTAAAATCTGAGCAAAAGATCAGGTCAGAAATTTCTTCAGAGAAGGCATGAGAATGGTCAGTAGATATGCGAAAAAATGTTCAAAACCTCTAAACCCCGAGGAAGCGCAAAGTTAAATCCCAATGTGGTGCAATCTTACTCTTGTTGGAGTGGCTGTTATGTAAGCGTGAGTGATAAATATCAGGGAGGACATGAAGAAAAAGGGACCCTGCATGTCACTGGTGGGGCTGTAAATTAGAGCCATTTTAGACAACAGCACCCAGGTCCCACAAAAAATTTAAAACAGAATCACATGTGACGTGACACCCTAATTCTGGGGATGTGAACCAAAGAGGTGAAGTCAGTCTCTCAGAGGGATGTCTGCCCTCCCTGTGCACTGTGGCGCTGCTCAGGCGCTCCAAGACGGACAGGCCACGTAAACATCTGCACATGACAAAGAAAATGTGGCAGTACACTGGGGGAATATTATGCAGCTGAAAGCCTCAATATGTAAGAAAATTATGGGAAGAATTTGAAACTTTGATCTTTAAATTTTAAATTTTCCTAGATTGCTTAAATTCTTTTTAGAAGGAGGGTCTCTCTCTCTCTCTCTCTCTCTCTCTCTCTCTCTCTCTCTCTCTCTCTCT